TAGTTAACGCCTTCCGAAACTTGTTGCCCACAGTTGTGGCAAAACATCTTTCTGCCGACCTCCTTCAAGTGTTCCAAGATGGCGGAGATGGCGCAGTTGGCGCTAATGCGGTTCGTAAGCGGTTACGCGATCTTAGCCATAAGATTGGCCCTACTTTGCAACCAGTTTTCGTGAGCAAGAAATTGGGGCAAGACCTCAGACCCAAAGAAATCAAGCCGTCAATTGTTAATAAGCAGTGTGTTGTTTACAATTTTTCATGTGATCTGTGTGATGCAGATTGTGTCGGGTATACAGCCCGACACCTTCATCAACGCATTGCTGAGCACAAAAAATTGCTCGATGTAGTGAAGTGGGTGGTATCACAATCCATTAAAAAACATGGCATTTTTTTATAATTCCTGATCTATTTCAAGATATAGTCTAAATTAAGACTTCATGTTTTTGGAAAATGAAAGTAAACTGTGTGAATGCAGGGCTAATGTCTTTTTTTGGCGGATAAGATTACGCCAGCCTGTCTGGTCCTACACACCGATTACCGTTATCCGTATGATTTCGTGAGCGCGAATGTCGGTACATAAGATTTTTATATTTTTATTGCCATGTTTTGTGATTATTGCTTTTTGTCAATTTTTGACGCTTCGATCAATTTTATGAGGTGTTTCCCCTGATAATAATAATAAAAACAAACAAACAAAAAAGCGCTGAATCCATGGATCGATCTTGTAAATTTGAAGGTGTTGTTTCTCACAAATTCGACGGAACTTGACTTTTTATGTGACTGCAGTAACGGAGTATGTTCACCTAATGTTCTCAAGAATATGTTTATAATTGAATTTCCTTAAACGCACTCCATTGACTATAGTTATGGAGCAATTGAAGTTAATGTTATGGAAATTTATGTGGCAAAATGTCTGAGTCTAATCTGAAGGTAAACACCGATAGAATCGTAGCTCGCCAAATCCAAAGTCTTTACATATATCCCAAACGCGTGCCCACGTATTTTATTTGCTTCAATCATTTCAATGGGTCTGGACTGAATGATATTAATTTTGTCAATATCCCATATTCAATACAAAAGGGTCGGTATCTATTACTTAATCCATTATCGAATGCAGGTGGTGTTATTTCTGTTTAAAAATAATTCATTTCAGCTCGTGTTATTTCCCATCACTCTTTATTTTTATTTTGCTGATTCACTACAGTTGATGCTCTGAGCCTATAACTGGTCATTGTGACAAAACTAAAATCCTGAACTCAACAAACATGATTTTTAGGGGAAGGAACCTTAGTCTTGTAAACTTGTTTTGTAGACATAAATGGTATTTAGCAAGGGTGTGTTATTTTAATGAGCCATCGACAGTCTTCGAAATTCAAAAAAGGGGGTTTTCCCCTGAGAGTGAAAAAAAAAAAAACGCTGAATCTATGGATCGATCTTGAAAATTTCAAGGTGTTGTTTCTCAGAAACTCGAGGGAACTTGGCTTTTTATGTGACTGCATTATCTAGGGATATTCACCTAATGTTCTTAAGTATATGTTTATGATGTTGTTGTCTTAAACAGAAACTACGAATCGTTTTCTATCCCCGTCTTATCTTATTTCCGATCATACTTTATTTCTATTTCGATGGTTGACAACAGTTGAAGCACTGAGCTTATAAAGTGTCGTATTACAAGATTTTAAAGGGAAGGAACCTTAGTCTTGTAAACTTGTTTTGTAGACATCAATGGTATTTAGCAAGGGTGTGTTATTATAATGCGCCAAATCGGAAATTTGCAGAAGTATTTTGTTACAAAAAAAAAAGAACTGCTACGGTGAAGAATTGCTTCATTCAAAACCACTTCAATCCTAAGGCTCAGCTCATTTTTACATGGACGGGTAATCAATTCTATCAAAAATATTTCGTTGTTGTTTCGCAGACGGGAATTCGCTAATTTGCATGGAAGAAAAATTGGCCGCTCTTAGCCAACTTAAGCGAAGTCATTTTTATAGACGAACAATGCTGGCATTTGGAACAAACCACTCTTTCTGGTTTTAAGACATTGTTTATAAAAAAAAGGGTAGCCGGTCTCATAAGCTTTTAGCCATTTTGTGGAATTGAAAAAAGTCTTCCAAGAGTTAATTTTTGAAGTGTAGGCTTTTAAACTTGCCAAATAACAAATAGCTTGATTGAGATGATCCTTAAAAAACTTTTGCACAGAAGCTTCGTGCAATTTTCAAACTTTTTTTTTCCAAAATTAATCTCACAGCAAGGATCCTCTAGACTGAAATTATTCAAGTTTATATTATTCAGTGTTTTTAAAACGATGTAGCTGTAATCAATATTTTTCAACTTCTGAAAAATGATGTAGGCGGACGTTTTTTTCGAAATAAGAATGACTAAAAATGAATGACTAAAAACGATGACAGATAAATGAGTTGTTTTAAGAAAATAAAATAAATCTGCCCATTGACGCAAGACAAGAAGGTTTTTTTTCGGCTTCAATTCGCATGAATTTCCTCTGTTCACGATAACCGTTCGAAGAAAAAAGCCACAGGGAACCTCTTCACTAATACATTTCTTTAATAAACCCTCAATAGTCAAGCAACTGTTTATTGAAACTGGTGCTTGACTTTGTCATATATATATGTAAATCCGTGTAATCGATCATTCAGGTGCTTAATATCTCATACACTTTGACCAAGGATGATCTTCTTTGAACGATACCCTAGTATATCGCCCTCATTTTCCTTAGAAACTTGGACCGTACAGGAGACTTAATTACCTTCTTCGACTGAACTCGCTAATGTAATGCAGAAGGAGTACAATAGGACTTTACGGGGGTCAGTCATCATATAATTATAACGCCTTTGGCACCTGACCACAGACGACACTTTCAAGGAATTAATAATAACAATTTATAGTCCAAGACGCATGACTCCAGTCAATCCGTTGCATTAGGTTAAATTTTTTACCTAGTATTATTTTACGAGTCTAGCTTTTGGTACAAAGAGCCCAAACAGGGAGAAAGCAGTTCATTTCTAATATTAATATTCATCTTGGCTTGAAACCAACAGTTTCTATCGTAACCATACCTACCAGACAGTAATAAAAGAAAACACGTTTGGCTCAATGACACTAAAGCTGGGCACCAAAGAACATTCAATCTTTGAGGGTATAAAGTGATATATTTAATGCATGGATAACTTGAGTTTGAATTTCATTCCATGATATAAATTGAATATCCACTCTTAACTTCTTTATTTCTGTGTGGCTGAAAAAAAACGAAAATGAAAAATACCGAGCTTTCAAATATGGATATAACAAACTTTTGGCGAAAAAACAGCACGCTATTTGAAATAAACAAGATCATTGTCCTTAATTTTAGTTTCCTACAAGGGTTTACTTCTGTAGAAATTGTAGTTCCATCATTACCGTAAATAGAGAAAAGTTCCAAATTATAAAAAGTCAATGCTGGCGGTTCCAAGCTCGTCACAAATTGTGAAACTCGAAACGACAGGAAATTCCATAAAGTGATGAGAGAGGTATTAATGCAGTGACGAAGCCCGCTGTTTGGGTTCAATTTACGGTAAAGAAAAATAGAGTTGATGACAAAAATCTTCTTCATTTGAAATATCTAACTTGCCAAAAATTACAGTTGTTTTTTTCTGTACTTAGAAAGATTTCCTTTCACAGATTGTTTTGTCCTATCCCTCAACCTAGACCAATATGCAGCTCGTTTGAATTCCGTTCATATTATGACAAAAGTGATGATTTTGAACAAGAAGAACCTCGAAAAAATATGGAAGTTGATTTACATGGCTTCCCATCAGAAAAATAAGTCGGGAACCAAATGTTGGCTCACATGTCTCTTTAACCTTAGGTCTGCAACAATTTTATCTAACGGAGGAAAACCTGAAAATGTCTTATAATTTAAAAGTTCTTCCAATGAAGGCCTTGGAAGCCAGATCCGATACTGAATGGTTTGGATGAATCCAATCATAAATTACGGTACACCTTTTCCAAACATCAATTTGCTATTATCTTTGAGATGAAAATGGCGCTTAAAACAACATTCAGGGGTTCTCCTTCGACAATCTTTATTCAATCCTGATGTATCGAGACATAGGTCGTAAGTTGCTCAGAAAATTTATGGAATTTTTTGTTGTTTAATATCCACCATCTACGGGAGATTTATTGTTTGTTCAAACTAAAGAGCTTATTAGAACTCGTCATTAATCAATTTTGACGTTAATGAATGTCGGGGAAGATGAAATGGCTAATAACTTAGGACTTCAAATTATTGCGTTCCTGTATTATTTCGAGTAAGTAGGAGGGCCAAACGAGAAAATATTTTGCTCGCTGTAGTGAAGTGGGAGTTACAGCTTAACAACTTCAAACACGATATTCTAAATTCAAAAAGGAGTTTCTCTTATTCATTTCGTCGAATTAGAACAAGAGACTCACAATCTATCCAAGAACGTGGCTTATTTTATAATATATCTTTATATATCAATTAAACTTGTAAGGAGTTTCCCCTGAGAATGAAACAAAAAAACAAAACAAAACAAACACACAAACGAAGAAACGTTGAATTTATGGATTGATCTTGAAAATTGGGAGTTCTTAGAAACTCAAGGGAACTTGGCTTTTTATGTGACTCTATGACATTATTCACCTAATGTTCTTAAGAATATTTTTATGATGTTATTGTCTTAAACGCACTCCATTGACTATAATTATGAAGCAATTGAAGTTAATGTTATGGAAATTTGTGTGGTAAAATCCCTTTTTCTAATCTGTTGATGAACACCGATAGAATCATAGCTCATCAAAACCAAAGTGTTTCTAACTGGCACAAAGGAAGACATTGGAAACGTGTTCATTCGCAAACTTTAAAACGCGTACCCACGTATATTATTTGCAGGGTCAGGACTGACAGCTGTTAATTTTGTTAACATCCCATTTTAATACTAATAGGTCGGGTTCTATCACTTAAATTCATTATCAAATGCAGGTGGTCGACGCGAAATTTGTGGCACACTGAAAGCATCAATACTGAGCTCCGTTGTCTTGAGGAAGCATGGAATTTTCAGCGTTTCTAGTATTCGCAGTCTGGACTTCATCGACGACTTACTTGACGTTTGGTAAAGGTGAGTTACAAAATGCGCATCATTTTCCATCCCTATATTCATACTTCAGCCCTTGCTATCTTATTTTCCGTCACTCTTTATTTCTATTTCGCTGATTTACAACAGCTGATGCACTGAGCTTATTAACGTGTCGTTATGACAAAATTAAAAACCTGAATTCAACAAAGATGATTTTTAAAGGAAGGAACCTCAGTCTTGTAAACTTCTTTTGTAGATATTAACAGTATTTAACAAAGGCGTATTATTATGATGAACCATATCGGAAATTTTCAGTTGTTACAAAAAAAGTAAGAATTGCTACGATGAAGAATTGCTTCATTCAAAACAACTTCAATCCTAACGCTCATCAGCTCATATTTACATGGAAGGATAATCAATTCTATCAAAAACATTTCGTTGTTGTGTTGCAGACGGGAATTCGATAATTTGCATGGAAAAAAATTGGCCGCTCTTAGCCAACTTAAGCGAAGTTATTTTTATAGAAGGACAATGCTGGCATTTGGAATAGACCAATTTGTACTGGTTTTAAATATTTGCCTATAAAAATAGGGTAGCCCGTCTCCATATAATTTAACCATTGTGTGGGATTGAAAAAATAAAACCTTTGACGCAAAATCCTTTTAAATATTGCTTTTCGAATTGGAGGCTTTAAAACTTGCCAAAGAACAAATAGCTTAATTGACATGATCCTCAAGAAAACCTTTGCACAGAAGCTTCGTGTAATTTTCCAATTTTGCGCTCTTTCATAATCAATATCCCAGCAAGGATTCCTTATACTAAAATTTATTTAAATATATATAATTTCAGTGTTTTAAAAACTCTGTTACTGTGATCAATATTTTTCAATAGCAGAGATATGATTTGGGTAGACTTTATTCGACATGAGAAAAACAAGTAATGAATTAAAACGATGAACAGATAAATGAGTTGTTTTCAGAAAACAAATGACGGAAATAAAGAGATGATTATATTCACCATAGCTAAGCAATTCAAACAAATTTCATTGGCTCGCAAAAGAAAAAGAAATAAAATTTCATTCTACATTTGCCCGTTTAGAAAACTTTCGAAAACGAATACAAATCTGCTCATTGACGCAAAACAAGAATGGCTTTTCTCAGCTTAAATTTGCATGAATTCCCTCAGTTCACGATAGTCGTTCGAAGAAAAGAGCCGCAGGGGAGCTCTTCAGTTATACATTTCTTCAATAAACCCTCAATAGTCAAGCAGCTGTTTATTGAAACTAGCGCTTAACTTTGCCACATATATGCAATTCCGTGCATTCGATCATTTAGGTGATTAGAATCTCATAAACCTTGACCAGGGATGATCTCTCTGAAGGACACCTAGTATCTCGCCTCATTTTCCTTAGAAACTTGTACTGTACTGGAGACTTATTTACCTTCTTCGACAGAAATCGCTAATATAATGCAGAGGGAACACAATAGGATTTTACGGGGGTCAGTAATTATATGATTATAACGCCCTTGGCACCTGACCACAGGAGACACTTTCAAAGAATTAATAATAACATTTTATAGTCCAAGATGCATTACTCTAGTCAATCCGTCGCATTCGGTTAAATTTTTTACCTGGTATTATTTTACCAATTAAGCTTTTGGTGCAAAGAGCCCAAATAGGAAGAGGGAAGTTCATTTCTAATATTAATGATCATCTTGGCTTGAAACCAGCAGTTTCTATCGTAACCATAGCTACCAGAGAGTAAGAAAGGAAAACGCGTTTGGCTCAATAACACTTAAGTTGGGCGCCAAAGAACGTTGGATCTTTGAATGTAGGAAGTGATCATACTTAATGCATGGATAACTTGAGTTTGACTTTCAAATGTGGATATAACAAACTTTTGGCGAGAAAACAGCTTCAGCTATTTGAAATAAATAAGATCATTATCCTAAATTTTTAGTGCCCTACAACGGGTTTTATTCTTGAACCTTTTCTCAGCGATATTATTTTGTTTATAATGACACCACTCGTCGAAATTGTTGTTCCATCATTTCCGTAAATAGAGAAAAGTGCCAAATTATAAAAAGTCAGTGCGGTTCCTAGCTCGTCACAAATTGTGAAACTGCAAACGACAGGAAATTCCATGAGGCGATGAGATAGGATTTCACGCGGTGACGAAGCCCGCTGTTTGGGTTCAGTTTACAGTAAAAAGAAATGGAGTTGATGACAAGAAACTTCTTCATTTGAAATATCCAACATATCAAAAACTGTGGCAGTTATTTTTCTGTTCTTATAAATATTTCCTTTCACAAATTGTTTTGTCTTATCCCCAAACTTAGACTGATGTGCAGCTCGTTTGAATTCCGTTCATATTATGGCAGAAGTGATGATTTTGAAATAGAAGAACCTTGAAAAGTATGGAAGTTGATTTGCATGGCTCCCAATCAGAAAATGAGTCGGGAACAAAATGTTGGCTCACAGATCTCTTTAACCTAAGTCTGCAGCAATTTTATCTAGTGGAGGAAAACCTGAAAATGTTTTATAATTTAAAAGGTCTTCCAATGAAGGCCTTGGAGGCCAGATCCGATACTGAATAGTTTGGCTGAATCCAATCATAAATTACGGCACACCTTTTCCAAATATCAATTTGCTATTATCCTTGAGATGAAGATGGCACTTAAAACAACATTCAAAGCGTCGTCTCACCAAGGCTCTGGATTAAGTATAGCAGCTGTCTACACTGGATTGTGCTCAATCATTATGAGATATCTGAGGGGTTCTGCCTTGGCACTCTTTATGCAATCTTGATTTATCGAGACATTGGTTGTAAGTTGCACGGCAAATTTATGGAATTTCAGTAGTTTTAGGGGAGATTTTCTGTTTCTTCAAACTAAAGAGCTTATTAGAACTCATCATTAATTAATCTTGACGTTAATGAATGTGAGGGAAGATAAAATGAATAATTACTTAGGACTTCAAATAGGAAAAACATCTTTAAATTATTGCGTTCCTGTATTATTTCGAGTAAGTAGGAGGGCAAGACGAAAAAATATTCTGCTCGATGTAAAGTGGGTGGTGCAGCTTAAAAACTACAAACACGATTTCCCTCATTCATTTCGTCGAATTAAAATAAGAGACTCACAATACATCAAAGAACGCGACTTATTTTATAATTTCTGATTTATTTCAAGATATAGTCCAAATTAAGAATTCATGTTTTTGGAAAATGAAAGGGCAGGGCTGAAGTCTTTTTCTGGGGGATAAGTTTACGCCAACAGCGATCACTATATTTTTGCAAAAAAATTCTTTTCGTCAATTATCGACTCTTCAATCAATCTTGCAAAGACTTTTCCCCTGACAATAATAATAAAAAAAATGAAGAATATATGGATCGATCTTGAAAATTGAAGGTGTTGTTTCTCAGAAACTCGAGGGAGCTTGGCTTTTTATGTGACTGCATTATCGGAGTATGTTCACCTAGGCTAAGAATATGTTTATAATGTTATTGTCTTAAACGCACTCCATTGAATGTAATTATAAAGCAATTGAAGTTTATGTTGTAGAAATTTGTGTGTCAAAATCCCTAAGTCTAATCTGTTTATGAACACTTATGGAATCGTAGCCCCTCAAAACCAAAGGGTTTCTAAGTGGCACAAAGGAAGAGATTGAAGAGATGTTCATTCGCAGGCTTTAAAAATGGTACCCACGTATGTTATTTGCATCAATAACTTTGCATAGGGCAGGACTGACATCTGTTAACTTTGTTAACATCCCATTTTCAATACCAAAAGGGCGGTTTCTATTACTTAATCCATTGTTAATTGCAGGTGGTCGACACGAATTTGCGGCATACTAAAAGCATCAATATTGAGCCCCGTTCTCTTGAGGAAGCATGGAATTTTCAGTGTTTCTAGTATTCGCAGTCTGGACTTCATCGCTGACTTACTTCACGTTTGGTAAAGGTGAGTAGCAAACTGCGAATCATTTTTTATCGCTATATTCATTCTTTAGCCCGAGCTATTTTATTTTCCATCACTCTTTATTTTTATTTCGCTGATTCACAACAGTGGATGCGCTGAGCTTATAAAGTGTCGTTTTAAAAAATCTAAAATCCTGTATTTTTAAAACTCTGTTGCCGTGATCAATATTTTTCAATAACAGAAAAATGATGCGGGTGGACTTTGTTCGACAAGAGAAAAAAATTAACAAATTAAAACGATGAACAGATAAATTAGTTGTTCTCAGAAAACAAGCAACGCAAATAAAGAGATGATTATATTCACCATAGCTAAGCAGTTCAAACCACTTACATTGGCTTGCAAAAGTAAAAATATTAAGATTTCATTATACATTTGTACGTTTAGAAAACTTTCGAAAACGAATACAAATCTGCTCATTGACGCAAAACAAGAATGGTTTTTCTTGGCTTAAATTTGCACGAATTCCCTCTATTCACGATAATCGTTAGAAGAAAAGAGCCGCAGGGGAGCTCTTCAGGTTTAAATTTTTTTAATAAACACTCAATAGTCAAGCTGTTTACATAAAGTGCAAAACCAAATTATTAAAAAAATTAAAAATTAAAAAAAAAACCCTTTAAGACCATCCCTGATCAAAGTTTTTGAGATATTAAAGGCTCCCTATGATAGCATTTAAACTGTGTTCATGACACTGATGACAACTACGTCAAAAATGCAAACACCAATGAACTCCCTTTGAAGTAGGAATTTCACAGAGTGTTTGATGAGCTCGTCTTTTCTATCGATATGATAAACTCATCTAAAATCGCACGAGCTTCTTGAGTTGCCAAAGTCATGTGAAACTCGAAATATTTGCCGTAAAGGTGCCGTACCTCAGAAACCCCCAAACTCTCAAATAAATAAAGAATAATCATGGGCGCGTGTAGGAATAATCATGGACGAGTGAGATGTTAAATTGAACACGAGAAGAGAAATTCCATATCTACAAGCAACCATGTATTATTTTGTTATCATATAAACACAATAGCCCATTACTGGGAAGAAAAGCCGACTTCATTAATCAATGAAAATAAATGAATCGACAATCCTCGAAAAACAATCGCAGATTGCGTTGGCGCTGACTCTTAAGATGAAAAAATGTGTTGAATCGTGATTACAAAAACAACGATGGTTGTAATTTTTAATTTACTAAATTCTCATTTATTGACTTTGTCATCACCAACAGAAGAAGTCTTTCAGGAGAAGATGGAAAAGATGGAAAAATGTGTTGAATCGTGATTACAAAAACAACGATGGTTGTAATTTTCAATTTACTAAATTCTCATTTATTGACTTTGTCATTACCAACAGAAGAAGTCTTTCAGGTAAACTGCCAAAATCGGCGGTGGCAAATCTTCCAGCTGTCGATTTTCATTTTTAGCCGAGAGAAATGCTATCACCAAAGCCACCGAATATGCAACTTTCGGTTTTTCTTTTAGTATATTGGTTTTCTTCCCCTTCTAGGAAGGTTTGAACCTCATTGTCTGTCAGCGATACGGATTTTTTAGTGCTTTAGCCGCCATAATTCGAGAAAGCTCCGACAAACAACTTGTATTGAGAATCGTGAAGGCTTTGCCGTTCAATTATCAACCTGACCGAGTGGCACCAAAGGCGAGTGTAAGCAGCTGATTGGCTATATCGACACACGTAAAAAAATACGAAATTTTTTCAAGTGCGTTGTTACGGCTTTTCTCAGGGCCGGAAATCCTTGTCTAACACCGTCGTTTACGTATTTTTATGTTGTTGTTTAATTGTAGAAAACGGCGAAGCAATTTAAAAAGTTTTTCATTACTTTTAACGAATCATCATTCTTCTCACCGACTGCTTTGTTTGACTTACGTTTTTAACGCATTTGTTACCATAGTTTGCTGAGATCCGAGAAATTTTGCTAAGAGATTTGTTCTCAGAAATTTGTACGCGAAATTTAATTTTTTTTCGACGGAAAAGTATGCCTTATAATCATATTTCAATTGGTCCATTTTAGAGAGAGAGCGCGCGATGGTGTTTCCAGACTACTACTTCTTTGCTGAAAGACGTTTGGTAAACCATACCATTGATGAAAAACGCGTCAAGAACTTGGATGACTGTGAACTCTTTTGCTACCTGAACGACGACTGTGTCAGTCTTAACTACAAAAAAGATCCAGAAAATGATAAAACAGGTTACAACTGTCAACTAAATAACGCCACGCATCTGAAATATGACAGTGACTTGACAACTGATGCCAAGTTTTATTATCGTGGCTCGAAGGTGAGTTACCAATCGATTTTTCATAATTATCGCCTTGGAATAATTCAAAAACAATATGAATGTTTAGACAAATTCTCGTGCATTCGATCACTCGGTATTTGGTTCATTCTCTCACTCAAACTCTCGATCTTTCTTTAGTTATTTCGTTTCACTGTGTTTTTGTCCTTCAGAACGCTTGTGATAAGAGTCCCCAGTGCCAAAATAACGCAACTTGCCAGTCTGGATTTACATTCAAGGGATATCGATGCTTGTGTCCTTCTGGATACAAGGGAGAACATTGTGAAAAGGGTATGAGTCTAAGTCAACACTTGTAATGAACGTAAATGAGATTTTTTTCTAATTTTCAATGCTGGTATGACAACTGTTCTTCAGTTGCAGAGAGTGGAGTGAATTTGTCTATCATAAGGTGCTGAATCTTTCCAAAAGAAAATTTCTTACTGTATTTTATTGGGCGTGTGTAATGTATTCTTCGTTCGCTCGTTTGTATATTTTCGTTTTGTTTTGGTTTGTCTCAGTTGTTTGCTGTTTGTTGTTGTTGCTGCTGTTTTTTGTTGTTGTTTTTTGTTGCTGTTTTATTTTTCTTATTTTTTTTGTTTATCTTGAACGTTCGACGCCTTTCCATGGCAAAATAAGAGCACTTCATTCGTATATGCTTAATATAGTAACTGCAAGGAGAGCTCAGAAATAATAGCTTAATTGAAAGTTACCACCAGAGAACCACTCTAAGCAGGAAGTTACAAATAAATTGAGGTTTTTGCGAATTGCTGAGTTCCTATGGCTCTTTGATAGAAAGCAAACGCTTATGTCTTTAGTTGATATTTTATTCGTGTATTTTCCCCCTGCTTCTTTCTAATTCGACGACAGATAAATGCGAAGCATCCATTGGCAAATGCCACGAAGAGGCTACGTGTAATAACACAAACGGATCATACGTGTGTATATGCAAACCTGGATTTATCGGAGATGGGCATAATTGTACAGGTAACCGTAAATAGCTGGTTCTTTGGTTGATGTTTATTTTGATAACGTGGCAAGCCATGTTTTAATTCTTCAAGCTAAGTGAGAAAGTTACACAACGAAAAGTTTTTAAGTGATGGCTTTTTACATGGATAACCTGTTTTCTCGCGTTCTCGCAATCCAGCAAAGGATTGAAAACAGCCATGACTTGCACTTTTTAACAAGGTAATGGCGTATGCACAGCAGTTTTTGTATAATTTAGAAATCCCATTTTTTTTTCATCTGTGATTTCATAGACGTTGATGAGTGTCAAAGAAACCACTCCTGTCATGAGAATGCAAACTGCACCAACACCATTGGATCACATGTGTGCGATTGTCAGCCTGGATATACTGGAAATGGACAAAATTGCACAGGTGAATTTGATTCACATAAGAGGAGTTCATATGTATGTTGATTGCACAATAGAGTAACTGCAAGGAGAATTCAGAAATAATAGCATAATTGAAATGTCCCACCAGAGAACTACTTAAAACAGAAAGCTGCAATGAAATTGAGGTTTTTGCGAACTCCTATGAATCTCTGTTAGAAACCGAAATGCTTATGCTTTTAGCTAATATTTTATTAATTTTTTTTTATTTCTAATTTTACGACAGATATTGATGAATGCGAAGGAACCCTTGGAAAATGCCACAAGGAGGCTGCGTGTAATAACACACACGGATCATATGTGTGCACATGCAAACCTGGATATATCGGAGATGGACAGAATTGTACAGGTACAATCAACAGTCTCAAAAGCCTTCAGATTCATGTTGGCCAGTATAATGAGCTTTTGTTTAGATGATTGTTTGTCGTTGTAGTTTATTTTGGTAACGTGGCAAGCCATGTTTTAATTCTACAAAATAGGTGAGGCAGTTGGGTGACTAAAAGTTATAAAGTGATAGTTTTTTCAAAGAAAACTTGTTTTCTTCATTTACGACAATCTCGCGTTCTCCAAAGCCAGCAAAAGGTTTAAGACAACCGTGGCTTGCATGGTGCTGGCTTATGCATGACAACTTTTGCATAATTGTGATACCCTCTTTTCTATCTTTTAATTCATAGACGTTGACGAGTGTAAAGTAAACAACTCTTGTCACGAGAATGCAAACTGCACTAACACCTTTGGATCACACTTATGCTACTGTCAGCCTGGATATACTGGAAATGGACAAAACTGCACAGGTAAATTTAATGCATATAACAGCAGTTCATATGTTGTATGCTTAATAGAGTAACTGCAAGGAGAGTTCAGAAATAATACCTTATTTGAAAGGTTCCACCAGAGGAGCACTTATAACAGACAGCTTCGAAGAGATTGAGGTTTTAGCGAACTCCTAGGATCCCATGGCTCCTTCAAGATAGAAACCAAAATGCTTACGTCTTTAGCTGATATTTTATTCATCTTTTTCTTTCTAATTTTACGATAGATATTGATGAATGCGGCACGAGCCCTGGCAAATGCCACGAGAAGGCTGCGTGTAATAATACACACGGATCATATGTGTGTACATGTGAACCTGGATTTATCGGAGATGGACAGAATTGTATAGGTACAGTCAACAGTCCGAAGAGCTTTCAGATTCGAGTTGACTAGTATAACGAGTTTTTGAATGGTTGGGAGTTTGTTGATGTTGTTTATTTTGGTAACGTGGCAAGCCATGTTTTAATTCTACAAAATAGGTGAGGCAGTTACTCGACTAAAAGTTATAAAGTGAGAGCTTTTTACATAGATAACTAGTTTTCTTTATGTACGATAATCTAGCGTTCTCACAAGCCAGTAAGAGGTTTAGCTTGCAGCTTTAACACAGTGCTGGCCTATGTACGACACTTTTGCACAATTTTGGTACCGTTGTTTCTATCTGTTAATTTATAGACGTTGACGAGTGTAAAGGAAATCACTCTTGTCACGAGAATGCAAACTGCACCAACACCATTGGATCACATGAATGCTACTGTCAGCTTGGATATACTGGAAATGGACAAAATTGCACAGGTGAATTTGATGTATTTTGTTTAGTTTTAAAAAAGTCCATCTCAGCGGACTGGAAAAGAGCAATATCTACTCGATGGTAATCGACATGTGCTAGAAAATAAGATCATTGATGAGTTGTTTTACATCGCCTTCAATAATGTCACGAACCCTTTAAAACGTGTTTCATTGTTGTAAATGAATATCTTCGTTGCTTTTTGTTTCTTTCTGCTTTTGGATGGAGCTTGCAATAAAAATAGACGACGGTGTGAAACGAAATCGCAAATTTTACATTGAACCTTAGGGCTAGAAGGTGCACAACTTCGAAAATGCGTTCAACAACAAAATGAAGATGAAAAGAAAAAATGCAACGCATGCGTATCGTTAAACAAAACTTTAGTAATCGGTGACAAAACTTTTTATCGACTACTTGTTTAAATATTGCGAACTCCTTTAAAAAAAAAATAAAATAAAATAAACTCAGATGTAATTAATGTGCGTGCTCCATAATAAGAGCTTAAAAACATTTTTTATTGTATCTTTTAGGATGGCTGACTTTTTATCGTTTCAGGTTGTGGCTGGTCTCCGAGTTTTCTTGTACAAGAGCGTGTTTTTGTAACAAAAATTTCTTTGACTTCGAGTCTTCATTTGTCTCGTATTGACATTCGCTATATTTCTTATTTTCAATCTTCCAGACTCGTTCTTCGCGTGCGCAACGAAACTGGTCCGAAGTCGATGTTCAAAATTTGCGAAAAGCGTCCTCCGAAAGCCGTCAAAAGGAGGTCATCTCGGGTAGATTTCCGATTACGAAATCCGAGCTCCCCCGGTGTTGTGCTCGTGATAAAGGCCCAATTTAGCATTTTTGACCTGCATAATGGAGTAGAAACGAACATGCACTTCGTTTTTGCTTATGACTTCGTATTAGCGTTAAGATATTTGCATTTTTTTTCGTTGTTAACCTATATTGCAGACTCTACAAAATTTTTGTGATGCCTCCTTTTCACGGATGGCCGATCACAGCTACAACATAGTAACGCCTCTACGAAACCTGTCAAAAGGAGGATGTTAAAACACCAGAGGTCATCTCGGGTAGATTTCTGATGACGAAATCCGAGCTTGCCCGATGTTGTCTTCGTGATGAAGGCTCTATTTAGCATTTTAGAGCCGCAAAATAGAGTAGAAAGGAACACTTACTTCGTTTTCGCTCATGACTTTGTCTTAGCGTTAAGATATTTGCATTTTTTTCCGTTGCTAACCTATATGACAGATTCCACAAAATACATTTGACGCCTCCTTTTCACGGATGGCCGATCACAACTACAACGTAATGACATCTCCACGGAATCTGTCAAAAGGAGGATTTCAAAACACTGGAAATTATGTTTTAAATACGAACTATCTTCGCACGAAATATGGCACTGTGAACAGAAATACCTTTTAGACATGGTTTGATGCTACTCTGGTTTACAGATTTAATTTATTTAGAAATACCTTTTCCTAAATAAAGCTTTTCAGATAAAATATCTAGGTATATGGTAAACTCAGTAAAAGCAATCACGCCCAAAACTATTAAAATGGATTTCTGATGAAATAAATTTAACGCAATTACGTTCAGAGTTTAAGCGATATATTGTTATTTCTAATATGTTAATTGATTAAAAAAATTGAACATTACCTCGATTGGACGGAGACTAAGTATGAATATAATGTAGCAGATATTACTTTTGTAGACAAGGATAATCCGTGACTTGTCTCACCTATTACATGTTCTCCATCTGCGTTGTGCCATGATATCATTGAAAACATTTTACGATAATGTTTTTACAATATTTAGATGAGGATTTTCAATTCTAAATGCAAGAGCTTACTTAGGGAAAGATCTATAAGAAACAGTTTCTTATGAATACGTTTTAAAATTATTTTAGCTGACTTGTACATAAATAAAAATTACTTCAGAGATATATTTCACTTCGACGATTATCTTAATAATCAATTAGTGGGAAGTTCTGAGAATCAGTTGTTAATGCTACATGCTAAATTAATGGTATTTTTCTCTTCCTGCTTAAGGGCTCTTTCGCAGTTTTGGTGACGGTAGCAGTTTCATACTCTCGAAGAATGAACTCTGCTGACCTGACATCCTTCACCAGACCTGACCTTTCGGACAACTTTCTCTCAAACAATGAGCTCACTTCTTGAGAAGTTAATTTACGTGCCATCATAGAATTGGAAATTTTGTTCAGAAAGCGAAATTATCGATTGGAATACGGCCGAACGCTGAATACGAATTGAGTGAGCAAACAGATACTTTGATATCTCGGACGATAACAAATTTCCCGCCTTTGAAAGTGTGAACCATTTAATTGTCTGGGAGTTAATCGACCGTAACATTTATCTTTCCTCTCCATTTCCGGTGTTTTAACATCCTCCTTTTGACAGATTTCGTGGAGGTGTCACTATGTTGTAGTTGTGATCGGCCATCCGTTAAAAGGAGGCATCGCAAAAATTTTGTGGAGTATCTAATATAGGTAAGCAACGAAAAAAAAAAAGCAAATATCTTGCGGCTAATACGAAGTCATGAGGGAAAACGAAGCACGTATTCGTTTCTACTCCGCTTTGCGGGTCTAATACGCTAAATAGGGCCTTCATCACGAAGACAACATCGGGAGAGCTCGGATTTCGTAATCGAAAGTACGCTTTCCAAAATTTGCAGGTGACACCGTACTCACCAGTTTCATAGAATTCTGCAATTATTCCTGCTCATAAGACTTTTGGTAGTATTTCCAGACTTTGCAATCCATAACAAAATGCAATTATTTCAACTAAAGGTGATAATCTTGCTTCATAATTACGGCCTGAAACTATTTTCATTATACAACTATTTGAATCGATAAATAGCCCATTTTAGTTCCATTTTTTTAAGGGAACATTCACGTAATTTCATAATCAACATCAGTGTTAAAAAAGTTACAGAAGATTATAGTGACACTAATATCGTTTCTTTCATCTTCTAATGACATTTATTGCAGCTTGATCTTGACGTAGTATGCACATTATCTTTCAGACATTGACGAATGCAGTGAAGCTCATCCTTTGAAAATGAACGAATGTCATCCGAATGCCTCTTGTATTAATACTCAGGGCTCATACAACTGCTCTTGTAATCCCACATTCATTGGGAATGGTTTTGAATGCAAAGGTATGTTTGGTTTCTCAAAAACTTCTTAACTGGATGGTTTTAATTGTAAAGGTACGTTTATTTTCTGTCATGCCTTTTTTTTCTTTTTAGGGTTGGGATTAGATAGACTCTTAATTCACTTCAGCCATATTTTTAAATCTGGCGTAATTATGTAAATTATGTTAGCGGTATCTTTAATACGCGACTTTGCTGATACTGCGTGCAAAGGAATGTTGTGACTTACCAAATCAGTACTAGGTGTCTCAGGGCGATGAAGAGTTAAAATGCTTTTAAAGTTATAAGTTTGTAAACTTTGTCTTTCCGTGATAAGCCCATGATCAGCCGAGGAGATCTTTGATCTGTGTGGCATGGGAATATAAAAATAACCGAAGAAATCTCAAAAGGAACACAATTTTATTCAGAATTCGTGCCTAGCCGAAACTGTTTGGTAAGTTCGTGCAGAACTCCGAAAAAGTTGTCACTCAATATTTCTTTGCACCTTCCACTCCATTCCCGCCAAGGTAGTCCGTTGGCAGCCTAAACGAAAGTTTAATATGCCGAAGAATATTCAATTCAACAAGTAGTAGAGATATTCAAAGACTAAAATGCGACAGAATTAGCTTTGTGATAACGAAAAATGCAATTTCAAAAGCGATAAGGACCATGGCTGGAAAAGAGAACTTGCCAACTTCAAGTGATGCTTTGCGAGAATTAGGCTATTATTTGGACCGGTGCATATTACTCAAGTGTTGATATGTGCATCGTTAAGTTGAATATTTTTTCTTTTAATCGTTCAACTTTCACAATTTTTATTGCAACGCTACACGATAACATGGTCGTGAAGTCATGTAAACAACGATTTCAGCAAAGTGAATCTACTGCAAGAAATGTAAATACAAGAAACTCGTTGGTTTTTGCCTCTGGACGGTCATTTCTTTGAATATGGAGATATCCCTTGGTCATTATGCCTTACATTTGATTAATAGCTTCTGGTAGCATGCGCCTATCTGGCAACAACGAAAATAACTTTGAAAATGAGTAAATCTATCAATTTTTTGTCTCCATTAAAAATTAAGTCAAGAAGAGGAAAGCATGCAGAATTAAACATATACTGCAAAAAGTAAGAGTGAGATTTTCTTTAGATATGAGAAACTCTCAGGATATCTTCGAGACTCTTCATCAACAGAGATTGAGGCCGCATTGAATAACGTGCCCCTTAAGGGACCTGGTACAGAGTTTGCCCATACTAGCGTTCATTCTGATCAATCTAAGCAAGGTCGCGTATATGCCTTCGATACGCTGTAAAGAAAGGAGGAACTTTAATTAAGATCCTGCTTTTGTTAAAACTAATAAACTTTTACTTGTAAATAATTACTATTTGGCTTCTAACTTGAAAAAAAGAAAATAATTACTCTAGTGGAAGGCGTTAATTTATACCCGGCGATGCGCGCCTATTCATTCATCGACTCAAACCCATAGTAAAACCGCAAACAATCAGTGAAATATACAAGCATCTCACGCATACTATCAATGTCATTTACAGCCTTAAAAATGAATATCAATCTAAAAGTGACAACTTAATGATATAATATTTGTTATAATAAAGTTCGGATATAACGCGCGCTGTCATTGGTTGAAAGAGCGTGCTCAATGAGAGCATAGAGCATAGAACTGAGCTACAGCTGTCACGCCATCTGCCAAATTGTACTATGTTCGACCTTTTCCGGGACTTCTTTTTAGCTTTTTCCGATAATTGAAAGTGAAATTTCGAAACAAGCGAGCCGGCAAGTAGCAACAGAAGAACCAAACAAAGGTTTGTAACTTACCAGGCGCCGTGATTTACGTTATTGAAACGTAAGCAGATACGAAAATCCTCAAAGGAAAAACAAAATAGACATTCCGAGTATTAAAGATTTTCACGCTCAGTTAGATTGCAAGCTTACGTACGGAAATAAAAATCAAACACAGCTAACACTCGTATAGTATATAAAGTTCAGTGTTCAAATACAAAACTAAACAAAACAGAAATGATGAAAAATATAACCAAACTGGCATAACTGCTAAAATTCATTCTAATCATGCCGGTGTCTGCGCGAATATGATCATGCTGAAGTCCATCGCGGCTCGCTTATCATGGCGATCTCCGGTCATCACAGTAAAGCAAGCCTCAGAAACTACATCGGCCGCTCTTCGAGTAAAAAAATAAGAGCTTGCTCTGATATCCTTTCCGATGCGTTGAATGGAAAGTCACATCAGTCACTGCAGCCGAGTTTTGCGGCGCTGTCATCCCGAGCGATCTTCATGTTCCGGTGAATTTGGCTGTCGTTCATTCAAAATACACTCGCCTTGAACAGTTTGTTTTCTACCTTGTCATGTGAAAAAACTCGCGTGTTTTTATGAGCCATAATTCGGCTGAAGTTCACTGAACATTTCACTTCAAGATTCTGTATTAGAGACTTAAAAACTTCAGGCAAAAGTGTTAAATTCGACCTGCCGAACTATTTTAGTTTGAAAACTATCGCAGAATGTGAACTTTGATGGTTTTTGAACTTTGACGGTTTGACACTTTTGACAGCTTTAGTCTTGTACAGCCAATCAGATTATTTGAACCATTCTAACAGGGATTCTGATTGGCACATTGAAGCGTGCTTTATGAGAGTATAGAGCATGCTGACGTCACTGTTGTTCGCTTTGGGAATAAAATTTGTTTTGATAATTGAAAGTAATGCTCGGGGAATTCAATGGTTTCTTTATTATAAAACAAATAGAGAAGCCTTGACTGTGCTCTGTTCTGTTATAAAGCACTTAGGAAGTGCACTCAAAAGCACTCAAGAAGTGGGGAGAAACACTCGACTACGTCTCGTGTTGCTCCCTACACTTTCCTTCGTACTCTAGCCGCTTCCTGCGTGCTTTATAACAGAACAGAGCACAGTCAAGGCTTCTGTATTTGTGAATTAGAATTTCAAGAAAATTGGGAATGGTGTTCTGGAAAGCATACAGAAAAGATAGTAAATTGCTTTGCTTCAAAATAGTTCGAACTCGTACGGCTCTTTGGGAAAAAATTTTCAATGTTTCGGAATGCACTGTTCAGAATATATTTCAGTCCACACTTTTGCTTTGGGCATCAAATCCTCGCCTTCTGAGAGATATATGGATGAACTTCACGAGCCTTTTGAACATCTAATACCACATGTAATCAGAAATATCGCTGCCAACAAGAACCGCTCGACTGTTAACATTTAATTAACAAGAAGTGGGAAGAAACACTCGACTACGTCTCGTGTTTCTCCCTACACTTCTTTTGTGCTCTAGCCGCTTCCTGCGTGCTTTATTACAAAAAAAAGCACAGTCAAGGCTTCTCTATTTGTTAAATGAAGCACGCTCGCGCAATTGAATTTAAATAGACAAATTTACCAGCTATGTTATAATGTTACTTAGTGGTAACTGATTTTTAACTTGCTTGTGTAATAGCGAGGAAATTTATTGATGAGGACTGCTAAACTAGCTGTGAAAAAAAAATTAATATTTCGGACTTCATGGAATGCGATAGTCTATAAGGTTTTTTTGCGGTATTCTGTTAAGGATGCATGAGGGATCTGCCGATGGCGTTAATCACTTCGCGATTTAAGCTTTGTATATGTCACGGTAAACTTTAATTGTGCTTTACTTGTGCCCGCCAAGGTTACCAGCTGACAACTCAAAAACAATTTGACTACAATGTTTATCAAGGAAAAATTTCATCGAAATTTTACCATGTTTCTTATATTAGATGTGAGATTGAATGCATTCTTGTTTGTTTACCTCGTCCATCATCTCAAAAGTAACTCGAAACTCTTCATTCGCTGTTCTTCACAACTTTTAAATACTTGTGATTGAATTTAATTCTCAGACTCTTAATCGACCAAACTAAAGGCATATAATAACTAGTGATTATTATTCTCTTGAAATGCAAGGTCTACCGCTGGTTGGTAAACTGCTGGATTAATATAAATTTAGGAAACATATATTTTACCACTGTTGTCGATAAGGAATAGAAACGAAATTATTTTAGAGTTCACACGGCAACCAGGTGGACAATAGTTTGATGCTACTCTGGTTTGCAGATTTAACGAGTGTAACCGAAGAAGTTACAATTCATAGACCCAACGTTTCGACACTCATGTCTAGTGCCTTCATCAGGGGTGATCTAAACGCTGCAACAAGAGGTCATTTTATATGATCACTAACAAGTGGCCTGTTTTCTGACGAGGTGTAAATAGGCGTCAGGAAGCACACCGCCATCGTCACGATTTAAAGGAGCGTGGGCGGAGTTAATATGCCAAGCCTCCAAACAAAGGCGCCAGTGGTAACACCGATTAGTAGTGATAATTTTTAGAATTATCCCACCCAGTTGTATGGTTAGTTAGGCTATGTATGCTCCGATGAAGCTGAATTTTCTTTTTTGCAAAGGAAATCGCTTTTTGGTGCTCTTTTAACCGTGTACCAGACTGACGTTTGATCTGTCCGATGTACTCATTGACACAGTCATGATGTCATCATTGTCACAGTCATGCAATGACTGTGACAATGAATACATCGGACGGAATATGCATGTCAGGTCTTTCATTGCAATCTACCATTGAGCCTCTCGGATGAAATTGAACGCATTCAGCGTCGTGCGTTACGCATTATCTTTCCAGGTTGTAATTATAATGAAGGTCTAGCTAAACCTGGCCTACCAACCCTATACGATAGGAGGCGCACATTATGTAAAGATCTATTCGATAAAATTACGCATGGTAGCCACAAACTCAGCCATCTATTCCCATCACGTTCCCAGCAGATGTACAACCTTAGATCTGGTCGCACCTTAAAGAATTAAAGAGGACCCATGCATTCTCTGTGACTCCGAGTTTCGCGCCTAGGCGCTCGTCAGACAGAACTCCTTTTTGACGAGCTGTCTGACGAGCGCTTAGACGCGAAACTCAGAGTCACAGAGAATCCATGCGTCCTCTTTAATTCTTTAACTTATGTGTATATATATATATATATATATTTTTTTTTTTTTAATATTCGTCTTATTGTAGTCACGTTATTCAGTCGTTTGACTGCAAAGTGTTTTTTAATAATAAACGATAAATGAAACATAAGTGAAACATTTTTTTTTAATCTACTGACCATAAGGCTCTAAAAATTATCATTGCTCTTTGTAGCCGATCCTTGCCATCATTACTCAAACCTGAGTGAAGCCAGTCGAAATACAAAAACAACACAATCTGGAGGTTTGTTTTGTGACAACAAACTTCCTAAGGGATGGTATCGTTTTGTGGGACATGCAGGAACAAGAATGCCAACAGAGCGTGTGCCAGCATTCAGATGTGGTACAAAATGGTCAGGCTGGTTGGTTGATGCCCATCCTACAGTGGAAGATGGTGAAGTTTATAAGATGGTCTGCTTTAGCGATCGCCCTGCTACCGGAGGTTGCAAATATAAAATCAGAATTTCAGTTAAAAATTGTGGATCTCACTTCATCTACAACCTTCATCACCCACCTGCTTGTAGCTCGCGCTACTGCGGTACAGACTAAATGTGAAGCAAATTTTCCAAGAAATAGTCCTTCTCTTATGATAATCATTGATTTCCTCTGTATATTTTATAACCAGATGATATCCTGTTAACTCGAATTGCAATCAAAAATGCTTTGAATTTTACACTTTACAGAGCATCTCGCTCGTGATAATAATCCCAAATGATCAATTGCTGCTAAAAGAACCCATAACAAACAAACAAAAAAAATAAAATAGAAAAGTAAAATGCTTAAATAGTGAAATCTTAGATATGTAGGAACGTCAATCAGCATTATAACTAGCAAAATATTCGTTTCTCAAAGCGTTAGAAGCTGCAATAGAGGACGCAATGCATAGCACGGTATGGTAATTTTCGCTTCAGTTTATTTTAAAATTAGATACTGCTGTTGTTAGTACTGACGATGTGTTTAATCTGATAGTTACTTTGAAAACAAAGTAACACGATTATGTAAGGACTAGTCACGGTTGGTAAATACTATCTAGTATGAGGTAGTAAGAAAAAATTCTGAGTCCCCATGAGGAATCGAGCCTCAGACCCTCGGATTTGCGCTCCGATGCTCTACCACTGAGCCACAAAGACTCTTCGCTGAGCAGGGTTTATTACGAAGTTCTAATGACACGCGTCCTGCATACTGCTAGGATCAACAATGTCGACAGCGTAATGTTTTCGACAGAAAAGTAGAGATGGTAAGTTTTGAGCTCGGTGAAGAATTAAGAAAGATGTTTTTTCGTCTTGTCACGAGCGTTTTTTTCCTTTGTCCCACGCTCATTGACACTCAATCGAAAACTGTTGAATTACATGAAGTACGTTTATGTATAAGCTTCCGCGGTAAGGATTGCTTGATATAACTTTACGTACTCCTTGATTTATTTACAAGGCAATTCTCATAACACAAGCAATGCTAGTGTTCAATTGTTATTAATCACTTAATGGTACCTATACCTAGATAGTAACAGAAACGAAAGCGAGAAGGAAGGAATTGGCAGTCAAAAAAAAGGCCAAAAAAAAAATAACAGAATTGCCCATTACTCTTTTCAGGAGCTTAAAACAATTACTTTTATTAATTGCAATCTTCTATAACCATCCTGTTCCCTTCAGGTTGTTAAAAAAAAATGAAACTGCTTTTTGTTCTAAATGTCCCTGTCACCAAATAAAAAGTTAAATTAAGAAATATGTGCACATTAAATAAAAAAGAATGCTATGCCCAAGCTTGATTCCGAGTCTATTCTTTACAGCGAAACGTGACGTTCATTTGTAGGCCTCGATATCTCTTTTGACCTTTATTTCGTGTCTAAACGTTCCACCAGTAAGGGACTATTTTTAACTTTTGGTGAAAATAAGTGAGTAGTGCACATCTGGTTCCAGATGTTGATAAGATACATTTAATTGGTGAATTTGAAAAATTATAAGAGACTGAAAATATTTAGTATTAAAGGCGTGATAACGGGAATGACATTTCAAGCGGTGACTATGCTTGAGATGATAGCGTGATCACAAAGGAATCAATTATATGATGTCGCCTCCAAAAGGAGGCAGTAGTGATCACAAAAGGAGTAAGATATGTGACTTTGACTCCTATGGGAGGCACTAGCCACACAAATTGTGAATAGAAATCACGAGTGGAAAGCGTGATCACAGACTGGTAATTAATGTGGTCACGGCGTGGGAAGCCTGTGATGATAGCGTGATCACAAAGGAAAATAACATATGTGGCCTAGCCTCCCATAGGAAGTGGTAGCCACACAAATGGTGATTAGAAATCACGAGCGGAAACCGTGATCACAGACTGGTTGTGATTAGGGCCTAGGAAACCGCAAATACCAAGATGCTTCTGTGTGATGAGCACGCCCCTTGTGCACTTGAGAATGCCCTTAAAACAAATAAAATGTAAAAAAAACAGCGGTCATTTTTTGATACCTGCTAAATTTATATTAATGAAGACATAACTCTGTTAAATAGGCGTTTACTGCTTCTAAACTTTCAATAATTAGCCAGAACAAACTGTGACGTAAGAACCCGACATGGATGGCTCACACCAGTAGAAGGTTTAGTTCAGATCGCAGAACGCTCTGGAAGTAGCACCTGTACATCATTTTATCATTACAGTTGAGTTCTTCAATCTTTAGTTGAATCTTTTTTATAATTTGCTGAAAATGTACATCCGCTGTTGAGGACTAGTCAATATCCTTCGCTATTGAAATGGCGTGATTAATGTTATTAGCTAACTTTTGATTTCTCCGCTGTTTTTTTTTCCTTGTTTTTTTTTCATTTTGTGACTCTATTAACAAAATGAATTTGAAAGCTCTCTCAATGATGTTTTAAATAAAAAATTTTGCATATAAACAGAGGGCTAAGAAAAAATCCACTTATCAAATCATTCGTAAACTTCCTGTTACCAGAACTGAGAGATGTATTAGTTATTGTTAACTGAACATTCGGCTCATAGTTACAGCACCCTACATTTCCCTTCATCTTTAAAACCGCTTTATGCGCTAAAAACAATTGGTCTCAAAACTAACCAAAGTAAACGCGTACAAAAGACATTTCAAGACAATTATGCTTTGTTGAATTTCCGTGGCATTTAGCATTTAATTCACCAGGGGATGTTTACTAAGTGAATTTTTTTTTCGCTCCATCAAAGCATAAATATTTGGGATCTACCATGAAAATCTTGAAAACAATGGAACCATTCTTTTGATTAATAATCTCTTTAGAGAACTGTCATAAGACCACGTGACTTGCACGTCGCCAACGATGATCTGCAAATCTTATCTCAGCGTGTCGTCACAGCACAACATAGAAATACACAGTCATAATATTGTCATTTGTAGACTGGAAATGGATAATTGTGTACATTTCCTGCTGGGGCGTAAGTTAATTTCATTATGCTGACCCGTGAGGGTTGTAAAAAGACATTTATTTGTAAATGAACTTGCAAGTTCGCGAGCCCAAACCGTATCAGTAACCACAACAACAACTTGGTGCGGTACCTTAAACGAATCGAAGAGTGCTTGATCCCTCTGGTAAGACACGCTGTATGGGTGTCCGTGCCAAAATTGACAGAGTATTAAAGCTAAAAAAACTCTCGGGGAAAAAATAAAACAATTGCATAACTTCTTCGTTTTAAAAATATCATAACAGTGAAATAGTTTTTGGCAGGATAATTTGATTTCTTCGCATTTAATTCTTGTTCGAATTATAGAAGCTACGTACATTTTATCAACCAGATAAGTCGTATCATGTTTCCTTGTAGCAAAGAGTGGTTCGGGAAAGAGTTTAACCAAGCGCGCTTTCTAATAAAGAACGTGATGACTTTAATGACTTTAATGACTAAAAACCAGATTGGCCCAAGGGCTCGAAACAACCAATGATGATCTCATAAAACTTAGGAAATTAATTCTTCCGAGAACCAAAACTTTCCGCTTCGTCGGACATTTATCGACACCTCTCTTCAAGAAATGCTGGATTGTTTCATGTGATTGCAAAACTAAGTAAATTGTGACCTTCATAATTTATTAAAAGGAAAAAAAAGCATAACAAAAGGAAACAAAACAAAGCAAGGTTACCTAGGTTTACCTAGACCTAGGTTACATCCCCTTAATAATGTCAGATAGCCCAAATCGATCCATGTAGGCTCAAGGCGTTGGTTTTTTCGGTCAATATCTCCTCGTTTCCTTAAGAAGCTTTGAAGCACATTAAGTCGCTGAAATCTACGATAAAAACGAAATAAATCCGACATTCACGGCAGAGATAAGGATATGGCCTCAAAGAGAAGTAGACATCTTTGTGGATTATGTTAATGCAAAACGCGAATGTCCTTGGGAACAGCCGTCAGAAACCAGAGGCAGACATGTGTCGGCAGCTATCAATTGTCTCACAAGATGCCGTCGAAAAAGTTTGGTAACCGTTGCTGCTAACATAGTATCCATTGCCGTACTTATCGCAGTGGTGCTTGTAGGAAACGTCTTCTGCAAACCCCATGACCACAGCGGGTTAAGGGGTAAGAATTGATTCATCTTGTGCCTTGGCGATTTTGTTCGAGTAATGACAAAATATTTAGAAAGTGGCCGAGATTTTGCAGCACCGTTTTGGTTCCACTTCTTAAAGTGCCTATGACACGACAGTTTTGTTTTGTTTTTTTTGTTTTTGTCTTTTTTTGTTTTTTGCAATTTATGGTCGATAGTTGTTTTCAAAATTAGCATAATGGACCTAAGCGCCTAGCGACTTCTCCTTGACCATTTTTTGGCATTGAAAGTACGATTTGGCGGCCAGGAAGTGTCTCCACTAGATTAAATACAACGTATATGATTTAGTAAAGGTCTGATAGCGGGAAAAACTAGAGATAATAGAGGAACGGGAATAAGTTAGGACTTTTGACACTCAACTGAAAACTATTCATCAGCTTGAATTACATGAAGTGCGAACATGTATAAGCTTTCGCAGTAAGGATTGCTTAATATAACTTTACGTACTCCTTGATTTCTTTACAAGGCAGTGCTCATAACACAAGCAATGCTAGTGTTCAATTTCAATGAGTTAATGGTACCTATATCAGTTGCTGACTGTAATAGTTAGGGGTTAGAATGAAACGGCCCATTGCTCTTTTCAGGAGCTCAGAATAGTTACTGTTAAAAACTGCAATCTTCCATAACCATCCTGTTCCCTTCAGGTTGTTGAAAATAAAAAACAAAACAAAAAAACAAAATACGTGAAACTGCTTGTTGTTCTAAGTGGTCCTGTTACCAAATAACAAAAATAAATTAAGAATTATACACAGTAAATTAAATAAATGCTTTGCTCATACTTGATTTCGATTTTATTCTTCACAACGAAAGGTGACGTATTGAGTCCACAGTTACCGCTGCTAGACCCCAATCTTAAATATAAACGCGTCGGTTTGTATTGATTAATGCATTACGGAATAATGGTAGTCGATCGACTTAAATTAATGTTGCATTGAAAACATAAATTCTAAAGTGCACTGTCTGACGAATCATG